ACTGCACATGTGCAGTGGGAGTCTCCTGTGTCTGTCACTGTGAGCTTGAGGGGTGGAACTGGGAATTACCTTGCGCTGACAGGGTCTAGCATAATGCCGGATCGAGGTCTGTCCAGAAGCTATCCCGCCATGTACTATGAAAAATAGAGACATTTATTGAAGGTACAAGATAAAAGAAACATTGTACATGGGACAATGACGCCTCAGTCCCCTTCTAAGTAGGCACCTTGGGACCTCACACAGTTCTCGGCCGCCATCATGTGCCCTGTTATATTTTCCTGAGCTTCATCGATGGTCTCAAATCTCTTCTCTTTCAAAGGTGACTTTAGTTTGGGGAAAAGCTAGAAGCCGCAGGGCGCCCAATCCAGGTGGTGGAGGGGCTGAGTCACCTGAGTGATTTGATGTTTTGCTAAAAAACTCTGCATGAGACGTGATGCATGAGCAGGTGCGTTGTTGTGATGAAGCTGCCAGTAACCAGTTGCCCACAGCTGCAGCCTTCTGAATTATCTGAGTAGTTTCCACAGAGGAACGTTCAAGCTTAATGCAAAAGTTGATGCTGATTCCTTGCTCCACTTGCTCAGTCATTTTGAATGCAATGGCCACACAGTGCACATGCTCACTCGAGGGCACCTACCAGCCCCACTGACTAGTACAATGAAGTCCTCATTGTTCATGCATGTGCATTCCAGTCCACACTCCTTGGCTGCCAGGTTACATTGATGTCACACAAACTGTTTTCATTATATTAACAATGGCTGGACTTTTTCTGGATGGACCTCGAAGGGAAGAAAGCAAGTTCTTGTGGGACCCAGCCAAGAGCTCCCCTGAGGAGAACGCAGAGACTTCCACTCCTGGGAGTGAGGTCAGATGTGGGAGGGACTTACGGGGCCATCTGTTCCAACCTTCGTATTGTACAGATGGAGACCAGGCCGGGGGTGACGTGACTGACTTAGGTGTAGAACCCCAGCCTCCCCACTCGACACCCAGCTTGCTGCTTGTGTGACGACACTTGCTGCTTCCTCACCCGCCTGGGACAGCCCGTTTGGGGCAGAGCGTGGCTTGTTCACCTGCTTTGTTTCTTGGGGATTCAGGTTGGGTGCTTTGGCAACAATATCCTTGTTCTGGAAAGACACCCCAGGGTTCTGGGTAAGCCTCTGAAGACTGTCTTGGGGACTAGCTTAGCCCAAGTAAAGTGGCTATGATGACTAAAATCTCTTATTTTTTTCACATATGTATTATTTTTAGTCTAGTGTTGACTGGGTTTCTAAGCAACTATGGACCAGTTTCATTGTTCGCCCCTTTCCCCTTACTTTGGTCTCTATTTCAGGAAATGTTTCTTTCAACAGTTTTGCCTTTTATGCACTTCACTCTTCTATTCGGCCAACCAGCACATTTACTGAGTGCCTTCCATGTTCCAGCATCAGGGCTTCCAAAGTAGAATTCGGTCCCACCTCCTGTAGTCGCTCAGGGTCAATGGAGGAGTGACGTCGCTTGAGTGGGGCCAGCGGTCGTGCCAGGTGCTGCACCTGTCCTGTCTCGTTGCCTCCTCTCACACAGCTGAGGAGGCTGGAGCTGAGATTCATAGCTCACAGGGGATGGGGCTTGGGTTCGAACCCAGACCCGGCCCGTGGAGCTTCTCGGGTGAGTGAACGGCACACAGACGCCATCGCCGCCCTTTCCTCGAGTACATCGCAGGTCAGCCAGCGTGCGGCCGCTCCCACTCGGGCAGAGAAGCTCTAGGAGGTCTTCCAGGCCAGCTCTGTGGACCCAGATGTTTCTCCTTCTGCCTCAGGACTGCGAAGGCCTTATTGTCCGCTCGGCCACCAAGGTGACCGCTGATGTCATCAACGCAGCAGAGAAGCTCCAGGTGGTGGGCCGGGCCGGCACCGGCGTGGACAACGTGGACCTGGAGGCCGCAACAAGGAAGGGCGTCCTGGTCATGAAGTGAGTCGTGGAGGCGGGGGGCGGGTGTGGAGAACGGACCTCGCAGACGGGGAATAAACTTACTTTAGAGAAAGCCAGGGTGGGGTTGGAGGGCTCCCAGGAGGAGGCCTGGTGTAGGCTGAGTCCAGACGAGTGATCAGCACTTCTGGCTTAGTGGTGCCAAGGGTTTGACCTTGAGGCTCTCTTTCTAAACTCAGTGCCTTGCAAACCCACCCCACAGGTGTTTGAAGTCTGCAGCCTGGTTCAGGGGTCAGAAGAAAGTGAGTTTGTCTGTCTTCTCTGCTCCAGCTCTGCCCATCTGCCTCCATCGTTCTGTCTGGAGCCAGGTCTTGTTAGCTCTGCGCTTACTGTAAACACAAACGCACAGCCTTTGCTACTAGGGTGACTCTGCATTCTTCATCTTCCTCACTTTTCTGCACCCCTCTGGAGCCAGGACCTCAGTGTCTCTTCCACACCCCAGAGCCAATAGGAGAAGGGTCCCCGCTGGAGCTGTTTGTGCAGAAATTCAGGGGCAACGTCATGTCAGCACGCTAGTGCAAGGGGACGCTCACTTCTGGCTCCCGTCTGGCACTGGTGAGGCAGCACCATCCCCGGTCCACTATTCTGTCCCTTGGAGTCCTTTTCTCTTCCCTTGGGAACCTCGTAGTCCTCAAGTCCTTTCCCTACACTCCCCCCGTAGGCTCCGGGTAGATTGACCTCTCGTCTGACTGAGGGCAACATCCAGCAGTAGAAAGGTTAAACAGTAACCCATGTGACATTCTTGCCGTGGACCCAGAGGCAGCAGCCCCCCAGCCCTGCCTCTCTTCCTGCATCCCCATCCAGCCTGTTCACTGGGGAGCCGGGGAACCAGGGTCTTGTGCAAGGACAGGTCTGAGAATCCTTGTTTTCTGTTCTGTTCTTTTCTTTTTTAAACCCAGCAATGGCCAGCTTTATTCAAGAAATATTTCGCACGATTGGCTTTTCACCAGTCTGTCCTGGCATGCTTCTAATGATACCAGAGACACCTGAATCAGTGACAGCCAGTGTGTGTGCTCTAGGACTTCCCACACACTGTGCCCAATTCGGTGTCATTGCCGCTGTAGCAGTGGGCACCAGTCTTGGCCAACGTGGCCTAGTATTCTACTTCGGGCATACTCAAGGCTGCACAGTTGTTGGTGAGGACTTCTGGTCATTCTCAGAGGCTGCGTGTACCCCAGCATGTACTTTTCATAACAGAAGTCAGAGCCTCGAGTCGATTGACTTCAGTGACTTTTTCGTCATCTTTGTGGCCACCGTCTTCTTGCCTGAGGTGCGAGAGGGCCCCCAACCAAGAGCAGCCGCCAAGATGCCTGAGAATCCTTTTATCTTGGACTTTTTTAAAATATAGAATCTCTTGACCTTTTCTCGCCTTGTAATCTTTGTTTCCAGAGATGAAAAGACCCCATAGGGGAAGAAGGAGGGTGAACATGTACATTAATAAGTTCTTTCAAAAACAAAAAAGCCTTGGAGAAAGAAAAATAGTTGCGCGGGCTGCCATCCTTTTTCCTTCTGTAAAATGGGCAGAATCGGCGTTGCTCTGAGTGTAACGCTTTCTCAGAACTTGTTGAAGGACAGGAGGAGAAGGCACGCAAGTGGAGATAAAACTATTCACTTTGTTACCAATAAAAGCCAGGTTGGGCACGTTGGTGAAGGTCAGTGGGCAAGGGCTGACCTCTGCGCCTGATAGATGCATCACCTGTCACAGGTACAGCCCCGGTCCAACTGGTGGCATGGAGACACGGGAATCTATGCTTCCTGAAGGCAGGTAGATTCAAAAATGAGAGGAGACAGACAAGGTCTGGGCCACACATGCCTTTCCCGATCGAGGAGACGCTACTGTGCCTCAGAAGAAGTGAATTTCAGTGGAGGAACTGGGTGTGTTTCTCACTGGAGGTCCCTCCACATGAAAATAAAGCCAGCAGCGTTTCCTTCCGGCCCTGGGGTGTGGGCAGAAGCACATCAGAGAAACCAGGGACGGTGGCGTGGGGTTTGTATTGAGAGCGGGTAAGCTCCCGGAGCAGGAGAGGAGTGGGGAGTGGGAGTGCGGGGCCCGGACTCTCTGACCTCCCTGCTTTCCTTTGCTCCTCAGCACGCCCAACGGGAACAGTCTCAGTGCTGCAGAGCTCACCTGTGGGATGATCCTGTGTCTGGCCAGGTAAGTCGCTGGCTTCTCAGCAGAGCCAGTCCCTCAGGTATGTCAGTCAGTATGATTTCCCCAGCAGAGTGACGCACAGAAACTCGGGAACGCCTCAGCTGCGCAGCGTGCAGACAGCCAAGAACCGCCTTCAGGGTTGTCGGTCCTCTGCTGGGGATCAGCACCCTGGTTCTGGAGCGCCAAGGTCAGGCTCCGAGTGCTTGCAAGTGGGGAACGGGCCGTTACCGGGCCACGGCTCATTACCTGGGAGCAGGGTCGTGGAGAGCGGAATCGTGTGTGACCTTTCATCTCTCCTTACTCACTGTCCACTCTCTGCATCCATCCTCCGGGCCAGTCCTGGCCATCGGTTTCCACACAGTAACTTCTAACCTCTGAGCCTTTACAAATGCTGTTCCTGCTGCCTGGAGCACCCTTCCCCAACCTTCTTGTGTAGGTAACTCCTTGTTCTTCAAGATTAAGCTCTAGTGTTAATTCATCCAAGAAGCTGTCTCTGGATTCCTCAGCTGAGCCGGGCCCCTCACTGATTCCCCTGGCCCCGGTGACAGGGCTTCTCTCTGTCACCGTCCACGCAGATCTGTGTTGTAATAGAATAGAATAGAAATAGAAAAGCTGCCCTCAGATCCCTGTGGGTTCATAACACGAGGTTAAATCTTTTGCTCTTTTAGCCAGAATTCCGGGGGTGGGAGCCTCTTGAGTACAGGGCACAGCCCAGGAGCCTACGGGTATGACACGTAATATGTGTGAGTCTTACTGTGTTGGGTAGTAAAATGATTGTGTTGAACAGGCAGTTCCAGCATTTCTGTGACCAAGGGGAAGGGCACAGAGCAGGAAGCTGCTCTAGGTCCCTTGGCAGAACCTTGGATTCTTTTTTTTTTTCCCTCGCTCTCTCAGACACTTTCCTCTTCATCTCCCTGGTATTGAGTCCACAGTGGAGGGTGAGAAGGTTCTGTTGGAACTGAATCACTGAGACCTTGGATCCTTAAGCCAGCAGCCAGGCAGCCAGGCTGAAATCTGAGAAATTACTCTTTCCTTCTCTCAGTGGCAGTTCTCCCTCCTGCCGGGGAGGACCTGGAGGGGCTCACCGTTGTTCTAACTCTTCCCCGAGATTTCTACCCACGATCCTCTTAGGTATCGCTGATGTCCGCTGGCCAGTGGAGAGGCGGTTAGAGAAGGGGGAACAGGGACAACTGCCACAGCAGAAGGGCCCCCAGCCTGGCAGGGGCTGCCGAGCTGCCTGCCTGGATCTCCCAGACCATCTAGGCTGCGCGTATTTCCCCTGCACAAGGTGCGGGGAGGAAGGCCGATACCCTGGTGTCACCTATGCTATTAAATTCACTGGTGTTTTGGGGTGTTTTTTTTTGAGTGAAGGAGGGATCTCCTTTCAGGGGTGTCCAACCTCTTGGCATTTTTGGGCCACACATTAAATACATTGTGACATGTAACCACAAAAATATCACATAATGTTTTAAGCAACTTTACGATTTTGCATTGGGCTGCGTTCAGAGCCATCCTAGGCTGCATGCGGCCCATGGGCCGCAGGTTGGACACCCCTGATTATTCTAAGTAATTCCATTACTTTTTCTTCTCCTGGAGGTGGAAAGAACGGTTTGGGAGGCAGGAATAGTTTTCCCCTATTTTAGGAGTCGATAGAATGGAATGATTTGAAGGGGGCACCCCAGTCCCAGTCCCTCATCCATGACCTCACTCACTAAAGATGCATCAAAACTAAGAAATAAGTACCCGTTAAGGAATCGCTGTCTCTCGTAACTTGTATGTTTGATCAGGCTGCTTTCCTAGCAGGGCAGCCACAGGCGGAACGGAGCTGTGAACGGGAAAGTCCAGAGCGTCGGGCCATGTGGGCGCAGGGGCCCTGAAGGGGCCTCAGGGCGGGGGCGGGGGCTTCGAACAGGTGACAGGAGTCCCTCAGGTACAGAACAGTGATGTAGGAAGAAAGGCAGCAGAATGCAACAAATGCACATTTCCCCATTTTGCCTGCTTTACCTTCTCCTCTGGTGAGTCTGGCCACTCGGGGGGTCCCTTGCCCACATCTTGGTCCCCCAAGATTGGCCTGGTGAGGACCTAACCTGGCTCTACAACCAGCTGGGTTCAGCAACAGAGGGAGCGCCTGGGGATTTCTCGTGGTCCATGGTGCCACATGTGGGGTCAGGTGGGCAGAGGTCAGGAGGTGAGGGGACTGAGAGGAGGCAGGTGGGGGAGTGCTGGGTTGGGGGGCTTTGTCACACCAGGTGTGGCATTTGTCAGGAAGGCCTTGCAGAGAAGGGAGCATGTCCTCGAGGCAAGTCACTCTGCGTGATTACTTGCTCGACATGAGGTGGGCCAGCCAGAGCAGGAGGTGGAGCTTCTCCCCGAAGCTTGTTCCTTAAGCTTGTCCGAGGTTACCCATGAGGCCACGGGGTTCTCATCACAGGAGAGCAGCCCTGCCTTCAGGTGCAAGTCCTCATAACATGTAGACATGAAAGAATTTTTTTTTTTTATAAGAAGTCAGTGAAGTAGAAGCACAGACACAATATCTTGGAATCTCCTTTTTGTGCGTACACACACACCACGCACCACTGAATTTTGTGGCTGCCAGGAAAGCCTGCATTTAAGTACTTTGGAGGCTACCTGGTGGGGGTCGTCTTTCCCTTTGAATCGGTTCAGCTGCTTCCAGTTGGGGGATGCTGGGTAGGTATTTAACCCCCAGTGCCCTGCATTAGGCAGTTGAGTATTAAAAAAAGCTAATGCATGTCTAAAGGTTTCCTATGAGAATGTCTAAAATAGAAAAGATACTCCTTAAACATTCTAATCATTGTTTCTCGTCTGGAAGCTTTTTCGTTTCCAGAGAAGCTTGGATGACCTTGTCCCACGTGACATCTCACCTGCCTGTGACTTCTAACTTTGACCTAACTTCCTTTGTCTCTTCCAATAAACACCAGCAGGCTCAGACCTCCAAACTAAGCAGTAGGGACAGAGAGGCTGTGTGGCATGTGCTTGCACAGCAGGACGGGAGGCGGAATAGAAATTAGAAGTGTCTGGACCATGGTACCCACCCACTGAAATCGAGCCTGAGACTGTTCAGGCTTAAGAAACTCCTAAAGAAAAATAATCAGTTGTCCCTGATACAGTAGATGTAGCTGTGGCCCCGGAGGGACTAGGAAGGTAAAAAACCCTTGAATTTCCAGAGCACTCGATGCCATCAGAGTTCTGCAACTCCACACTTTGTTATTCCTACCAACCCTGGAGGCTGGCTGTTGCCTTCTATGTGTCCCAAGTCACACTGATAGCCCAGACTCCTGGCTGGAGACAGAAGTCCCAGGACTGCAAGTCCAGACGTGCAAGGGTTCCGCTCTGCTGCACCGCCTCGACCCTCCTCCGTGCTTCTGAACCTGAGGCCCCCAGAGGCAGGCTGAGCGTGGTTCATGACCGGCAGAGGTGGTGGCTGTGCAGATGGCATGTCACACCTCCTTCCTGTGCTGGCAGGGTCTGTGTGGGCCAGCTGAACCTGTGTCTGTCCTTGCAGGCAGATTCCCCAGGCAACGGCTTCGATGAAGAATGGCAAATGGGAGCGGAAGAAGGTGAGCAGCCGGCCCTGTCTCCCCCTGCCCCCACCTCCCTCCACCCAGATCAGTGCCTGAGGTTCACTCCTGATGCTGACTTTGGCTTCTTTGCCTGTTTGGCTGTAGTTCATGGGAACTGAGTTGAATGGAAAGACCCTGGGAATTCTTGGCCTGGGCAGAATTGGGAGAGAGGTGGCCATCCGGATGCAGTCCTTTGGGATGAAGGTAAGGAGGGGTCAATGGGCTTCCTGTAGAAAGCTTGGAAGAGGCAGCTTTGTTTGGGAGAAGCTGAAGGCTTTGTCCTAAGAGGGTCTGACCTCTCCATCCCCCACTTTTAGAATCCTGACTTAAATAGGCAGTAAAGCCAGAGAAGGAAGGGTTTCCTACTTATGTGGGCACCTAAGCTCAAAAATGTAGAAATACTTGGTGGAGGTGCTTCAGCTCTGGGGGGAAGGACTAGCCCTGGCTCCCAGCAGAGCAGAGAGGGGCCCACATCCTGCCAGCCTTTCCTCCCCTGCTGTGAAGGCCTCCTTCTTTGCTGTGTCTGTCGCCTGTGATAATTCAGAAAACACAAGCAAATTGGTAGCCTTCCAACAGAGCAATTGTGTTTCCATCTAGTTCCCCTCCACACTTCAGAAAAGATCGGAAGGCACTTGTGCGTTCACTGATAGGATGGTAGAGCCGGTGGTAGCCAGAGGCCCCACACGTTTCTCAGAAGTCATCCCTGACCTCTGCCCCGCATAGGGCCCTGCCTTCTCCGGTCCTGGGAGGCTTCTGCTTGACGGAGGGTTGTCATCAGTAGCGGTGCCACCCCCGGGGACGTGGCCAAGGGGGTGGACGCCCAGCCAAGAGAAGGATCCGCAGGTGTGCTGGTGGAGGCCAGAGTGGCAGGCGTCTGGGAGGGCTGGTGGAAGTCTCCCTGCTTACAGGAGCTGTGAGGGGATCGTGGGTTCAAATTGCCCCCAGGGAGGCTTTAGTTAAACATTAAAGTAAATAGCTTTGAAAATCAGATCGTTTCAGGTCCAGAATATTTACATAGCACTGGTACAGAATTTTCCGTTTCTCCCTTGCTCCCTCCCTTTCTGTCTGTCCCGCCCACACTCACAGAGTTAGAGGGACTGTATAGATGAACCCCTTAATTTTACATTGACCTCTGGAGTTTACATTTGTGCTAAGGGCTCACAGAAGGTGGAAGAGAGGCAGGAACCCAGGTGGGCATCCCATTATTCCACGCTGAGCATCGTCCTACCTCCACTCCCCGCCACGTTCAAATATGCCGGCGTCTTTCCTGAGACGCAGTCCTGGGAAGGGCAGCTGCACTGGCCTAAATCTCTGAGAGCCGTGGGCGTGGCTCGGCAGGATCCACTGATCAGGAAAACAAACCAGCCCCACCTATTTGTTGGAGGGGGGTGGGGGGAGGTCTGGTGCCATCCCTACAAAGAGTACTTTCTCTTCCTGCCACTTTTGTGAGGGGTCAAGGTAAACATTTAGGTCACAGGGGATTCTGATCATCTAAAAACAGGGGTCAGGGGCCAGGTCAACTCAGAATACACATTGCCGGACAGGTGAGCCCTTGTTGCATTGCTGATGCAGAAACTTTGGACGGAACAAGTTCCAGGCCTAACGGCCGCTCTGTTATTGATACTTTCACTCCCTGCCCACAGTGCTACATACCACATTGGATTCTTCTAACATAGGGACATTTGTTGTTAAGGACTTCAGACTTTGGCAGTGACTTAACCCAGACAGAAAGTCTCACCTCATTTCCTGAACAATTGATGTGATCAGTCAGCATGTCTGTTCATCTGACGACACTCTGTTACTCAACTCCTGTGGGAGCTGCTTCTGGGAGGCCCAGGGGCATGGAGGACCTTGAGCATCATCAGTGGAAGTGACTGACCTCCCTCAGACGTGTGTTTGATTCAAAGAGATGTCTGAAACCTGCACATCAATGTTAATCTATGTTCCTGGGCACATGCTGCCGGATATGCCCACATGTTTTATTCCCAGCATGGTGTGGACGGTGTGGGTGCCTCAGTTTTGGGAGTCCTGTTGAGCTGTCTCTACAGAGTTACTCTGGGCTGTCTTGCTTCTGAGGCACGCTGTTTGTAAACCCCTGAAACACACCTTGGGTGGTCTCCCCCACCCCAAGCCCTCAAGAGCCCCTGGCCCTGGTCGTTCTGGAGTGACTCAGGTAGTCCCTCTTCATGTTCAGCTGCTCGCTTTGAGGGAGCTCCCTAACATAGTTTGGCTCCAGATGAATTTCGTCTCTGGGCAGAGAGATTACTAACCTGCGTCATTTAAGCCTTGGTTGATGTTTGAGCAGTGGGTCGTGGAGGGCAGGACTTCCTCAAGGTAAGAGATGGTATATCAGCTTCCAGATAGGAAACGATTATCAGTGTTTGCTAAACA